AAGGGTCGCACCGGCCGACCCAGGCCTCAATGTCACTATCAAGGCAGGGTCACCACACGTAGCTTTGGGCCAGCGCCTTCATGCGCGCGACCCTGGGGTGATCAGAATGGAGCCGCTGGAGAACCTGGCGGCGGAGGGCAGATGGGATGACCACCCGGTCGCACCATAGAAGGCACCCAGAGTGGAGTGACAGCTCCAACTGACGTGTTTTAAAGGGGCGGCACTCCGGAGAGACGCCCCCTGTAGGCCAGCCCCTCAGAACCCATGCCATGATCTGAGAGAGGACAAGGTCAGCTTGCGAGTGGGCGGCCACATCAGAGGCAGTGAGGGGGAGGTCCAGCTCAGCAATGGAGAGTACAGAGAGACAAGGGACAGGCTGGGGGTCGGAACAGGGTAGGGGGCAGCGGCTGAGGGAATCAGCATACCCTAGCTGCTTGCCCGGATGGTAGCACAGCGCGTAGGAATACGCAGCTAGAAACTCCGTCCAGCGGGTCATCCTGGGAGACAGGATGGGGGGGGGGTCGGCCTATCACCGGCGAAAAGCCCAAGGAGAGGCTTATGGTCAGTGTAGAGGGTAAAGTGCCGACCGTAGAGGTAATTGTGGAACTTTTTAACCCCGGACACAGCAGCCAGAGCCTCCTTGTCGATCTGGCTGTAGTTCCTCTCGGCTGAGGATAGTGTCCGGGAGTAAAAAGCAATGGGGGCCTCTGAGCCATTGGGCAGAACATGGCTGAGGACCGCCCCCAAGCCCACAGGAGAGGCGTCACAAGCTAAAGTCAGGGGCATCTTGTTGCTATACTGGACTAAGACTGCCTCTGACGTCAGCAAGGATTTGACAGCCGCGAACGCATGCGCTTCGCGGCTGCCCCATTGCCAGGCCACGGATTGTTCGAGCAACCGATGCAGCGGCTCGGCTAGTGACGCCTTGTGAGGGAGGAACGGCGCGTAAAAGTTTAAAAGGCCGAGGAACGCTTGCAGCTGCACCTTGGAGGTCGGGACAGGGGCGTTCTTGATGGCCGAGATTTTAGAAGGGGTGGGGTGGATTCCCTGGACATCAATCATGAAGCCCAGGAACTCCACCCTAAGCACAGCAAAAGAGCATTTGCTGAGCTTTAATTTGCGACCCGCGCCCTGGTCGAGCACCTTCCGAAGGACTTTGATGAGCCCTGAGCGGCTGCTTGCAGCGATCAGGACATCATCGAAGTGGGGGCCAACACCGGGGAGCCCATGGAGCAAGCGCTCCATGAGGCTCTGGAAGATCCCCAGGGCAACGGAAACGCCAAATTGGAGGCGGCGACAACGGAAAGCCCCGTGGTGGGTAACGATGGTCTGAGCAGCCGCAGCATCGTCATCCACCGGGAGCTGCTGATAGGCCTGTGCCATATCCAGTTTGGTGAAAATGCAGCCCTGCCCCAAGGAGGTGGAGCAAGTGCTGCACGACAGGGACTGGATAGGGGTTTGCCTGGAGGCCAAGGTTGATAGTTGACTTGTAGTCGGCGCAGATCCTGATGGACTCGTCGGCCTTCATGTGGACCACTATGGGGGGTCTCCCAGCGTGAATGGTCGACGGGCTCCAGGATGCCCTGCGCCAACAGCTTATCGAGTTCGGCGTCAACCTTA